ATGCTCATGTCTGCATTGGCTGTTACTGTGTCTTTAGTCCAGGGTGCAAGGGTAAGGAAGGGGTCTGGATGGTGAATCTAATATTTAGTGAACATCAATGATATGCCGCACTATCCTCGGTATTTACATATTATCTCTTTTATACTCTTCTTGTCTTCTCTAACCGCTAAACAGGACAAACCATGCTCCCATAAACACAAATGATTTGCTCCAATCTTTGTGATTTTTCATGTTTTGTTTGTTCATTTATCTGCTCATTCATTCAGTCAGCATAAATCCATTTAATACCTTCAATGTGTCAGGCCTTGTAGTGGACTGAATCAAAAGCTTGGCCATTTCAGTGTACCTAGTGGCTCCACAGGAGAAGGTGAATTGATGTGATGCTGCAAGGATTACAGCTCAGACAACTCTATGGGGAAGTCCTGCTCTGTCACCTTGGGTTACTAGGAGTTGAACAGTCTACTCAGAGGCACACAACTGCAACAACATGTACTCACAAAAGAAAGACAAATAAAGCCATAAAATAATTTTTTTAGAGAGTAAGTGCCAGGAAAGAGTAAAGTGGGACCAAGGGAATACACAGCACTCGGCAAGAGGCCAGGGACATCTTTTCTCAGCTGTGATATCTGAGCTGAGATTTGAATCATAAGCCATCAACCCCATGAAGAGAAGTCCATGTAGTTGTTCACAGTCATCCATAATGTTTCACTCCCTTGATTCTTCATAGTTGGTGTAGGCATGTCGAGTACAGCCCTTGCTGGTTACTTCTGCAGTATGGAAATGGATACATTTGCACGCTTTGTGTGCCCCACTGAGTCATGGTCAATTAATGTAGCCCTTCTAGCTACATTAGGGCTAGCCATGAATGCTTATATGAGCTATTATAATTCTGAACTTTATGTGTGTGGCTATGGTCCCATGTTTGAGGGCAATCTGTACTGAGAAACAGGACTAAGGTGGGATTAAGACCTCAGTAGAGGGTGTGAATTGAGCCACACTCTGTTTCCTTGCTGATATCTTTTTTTTTTAATCATTTTATTGGGGCTCATACAACTCATCACAATCCATACATACATCAGTTGTGTAAAGCACACTTATACATTTGTTGCCCTCATCATTCTCAAAATTCCCTTTCCGCTTGGGTTCCTAAAAATAGCTCCTCATTTTCCTTTTTCCCCTACCCCTCCCTCCCTGCTCCCCCCTCCCTCATGAACCCTTAATAATTTAAAAATTATTATTATATCTTATCTTACACTGCCCAGGTGTCTCCCTTCACCCACCCTTCTGTTGCTCATCCCCCAGAGAGGAAGTTAAATGTAGATCCTTGTGATCGATTCCCCCTTTCTACCCCCTCTTCCTTCCCAGTATCACCACTGTCACCGCTGGTTCTCAGGGGTTCATCTGTCCTAGATTACCTGTGTTTCCAGTTCCCATCTGTACTGCTGCTGTGCATCCTCTGGTCTATCCAGGTTTGCAAGGTAGAATTGGGATCATGGTAGTTGGGGGGAGGAAGCATTTAAGAACTAGAGGAAGGTTGTGAGTTTCATTATTGCTACACTGAACCCTAAGTGACTCATCTTCTCCCCATTACCCCTCTGCAAGGGATGTCCAGTTATCTACAGATGGGCATTGGGTCCCCATCATGTGCTACCCTCATTCACGATGATATGATTTCTCCCCCCACCCCCCGTCTTTGGTGCTTGAAACCTGGTCCCTTCAGCCCTTCATGATAACACATGTTGGTGTGCTGCTTCCATGTGGGCTTTGTTGCTCTGGGCTAGATGGCTACTTGTTTACTTTCAAGCCTTTAAGTCCCCAGACACTATAGGTCTCCATAGCCAGGCACCAACAGCCTTCTTCACCACACTTACTTTAGAATAGCGATTCTCAACTTTCCTAATGCCGCGACCCTTTCATACAGTTCCTCGTGTTGTGATGACCCCCAAAACATAAATTATTTTCGTTGCTACTTCATAACTGTGATTTTGCTACAGTTATGAATTGGGCGACCCCTGTGAAAGGGTCATTTGACCCCCAAAGTGGTCGCGACCCACAGGTTGAGAACCGCTGTTTTAGAAGATACATCTTTAGAACTGGCGTGAACCAGGCCACATTCTGTTTTCCTTGGTTAAATAACCATGTTGCTGTATAACCCCACACATTCATCACCTCACCTGGGAAGGCAGATAACTCTTTTCCTGATTGAGTCCTGGTGTAAACAAGAGGACTTGCTGTAACTTTTGGACATGTTGGTTTCTGGCTCTGGACCCTACATTTGGCTCACCCCTACCTGACCTTCAGATTTTGGACTGAACAGCACCCACCACCAAAAGGGATAATTCCTCAAAGTCTCATGAGTTTTTATGTGACCTTACAGTGATTCACAGAATCCAGGAATGTGAGAGAATATAATCAAAGGAGGAAGAGGTAGAAAATGGAGCCGAATAGCATCGTGGAAGAGTTGGATATTTGGGACATCATTAACCTCCAACTCCTGGGACTAGTCTGGTATTAATTCTTCTAAAAGAAATGATTACCACACCTACATACAGAAATACCCAATAGATTCCACAGAGACCAGTATTCCTCTTTGTTTTTGTTTTTTTAATTTGTGGTTACTGAACAAAGTGCTTGCAGATTTGAACAGAATCTGCAGTATACTCACTCAGACCCTGCTTCTCTGGCTCTTCTCAACTCACGCAATTCTGTGGACCTTGAGAATGAAAATGATAAGGAACAATAACACCGGGCTCAAAGAGGAGAAATCAGCAGGAGTTTCCCCCAGACCTGATAGACCATACCCCAGGATGTATTCTTCTAAATCCAAAAACCAAACAAAAAAGTGAAAATATTTACTAGACAGACAGCAAATTACCCTGCAGGGTGTTCTCACGCTTCTCTAGCTTACACCATAGGATGTTCTAGGACCACATGTACGAATTGTTGCACAGTTTACTTCAGATGGGCCCAAGTCCCCTGCTATCCCCTTCTGAAGAAGATTCCTTTCTTGGTGTTCTGAATGCTGGAACTCACAAGGCGATTTCCCTTCTCTCCGGCAAGCATCACTTAAAGCCAGCATCACTTAGATTAAGCATGAGACTGTCACTAGCAGACTTGGCCAAACAAAACATGCCCTCAAATAGAGCAGATTATCTGACTGTAACTACATCAAAAAAATTCCTTAAAGTCTGTTTTCTAACAATGATGACAACAAAGAAATGTTTGGTCCCTGTCATATTTTGAAAGGAGTCTTGGTAGCACATGACTCAATCTTCATCTGCCAACCAAAGGGTTGTTTAGAACCTACTGGCCCCTCCACGGAAGAACATTGTGTCAGTCTGTTTCTGTAAAGATTATAGCCTTGGAAGAAGCTTATGGAATGCGGGCCAATTCTACTCTGTTCTAAAAGGTTGCTATCAGTTAACATTGACCCAATGTCAGTGCATGTGTGTAAGTGTGTGTTTTGTTTGTTGTTTGGGTTAACTTTTTTGAGTAAGTGTTGGATGGCTAACCACAAGGCTGACTGTTCAAAGACACCAGCCAATCCATGGGAGAAAAATGAGGCTGCCTGCTCCTCTAAAGATTCATAGCTTCAGAAAGCCCATAGGGCCACTGAGTCAGAATCAACTCAATGGCAGGGGATTTTTGGTTGGTTTGGTGCTAACTACACATAGTGTAAAGGTAAAAAAAAAAAAGGGGAAAAAAAGCTTCTCTACCCTTGAGGAACTCACACTTTATTGGTAGCGAGAGACTGAGATAATAAATAATCCAATTCATGGCAGAATCTATTATAGAGAAACAAAGAAAAGGATAATACTGAAACACTAATGACACAGGCACCTTGCTGAAACAGTAAACTGTAACCTGGGGAAGGTAAAAATAAAAGAAACAAACAAAATCCATGGAGCCCTTCTTGATTCAGACACTGTCTATGCTAGAGAGTGGGGAGGTGGAGGTAAACACGGCTCCTGTCTTCATGTAACTTCCTGTAACAGAGCTAGAGAGACAAGCCCCCCAAGTAAAGAAGCAGATATATGAACGTGGCTGTCATAGTGGGAAGTGCCGTGAAGGAGAAGGGACCCGTGATCTAAGAGGAACTCATGAGAAGAACTAGTGAAGATCCACCGGGCTCTCAGAGGTAATGATTCCACGGTAAAGGCACGAAAGCTGAGCAGGTTTTAGCTGCAGAAGAAAAAAAATCTCCAAATTAAATTACAAGACTGTGACTCGGTGTTGCCTCCACCACCACGTGCCCATTTTTTGGCTTTGAACAGCTTGCTTACCACCCTGTCCTTCGGTTTCTCTACCTTATAAAATGAGGATAGTAATACTAGCTGTTCATTTTTCAAAACCTTTGCAGAATCCCCAAAAGAGTCAATACAGGTACAGGCTAATGCCTTTAAAGATGCAATGCAAGATCTTACTATAGACCATTTTTCATAAAATGAAACAATAATCTCAGATGCCCTTTAAATTATTAAACTAAATATTTTAAAATTCCCGGTTTCAACTTGGTTCCCCTACAACAACGCATTTAATCAGTTTTCTATTGTTATTGTTTCCAACATATTGCTTTGGAAACTTAAATTAACCAACCATTTTCAGTCAAACATGCCATTTCCTACCCTTCAAATTTCCCTTCTTCCAAGTCACAAACTTGAAAGACAGAAGTAGACAGTCAACAAATCCCACCTGCTAACTGTTTGCAATAATGAAAAAGAATTCCTGCAGAGTGGATCTCCCCAGCCCCCAATATGTTAGAGGCCCATGTGTCTGTTTGCTATGGAAATGCTGTTTCTGTTTTCGCTGGGCCCTCCTGTTCAGCTCTACTTCTCCTGGTCTCCCCCTCCCAATCCTTAAAAAGAGACCCTGTGCCTTTAATAACTGAGACCTTGGTCGGAGGTTTCTTCCCAAGCTTGTTCCCGCTTCCAAGTGACGAAATCAGCTGTAACTTGAGCACAGAGAGGTCCTCTGAATATCATTAGGCACGGAGCCCTCTGCCTGCCCAGCCCAGGAGTTGAGAGAGCATCAGAGGGGTCCAGCCTTTCTCTTCAGCGAAAGGCTCCTGGCTCCCAGGAGCAAGGGGGGACTGCGGAGTGGGCCAGCCACCAGTGTCCACCCAAGCCGAGCCCCGGAGGAGGGGGAGGCCTCCTCCCCGCGCATCTGGGGGAGAGCCCAAGAAGCCAAGTCCAAGGTGCCTCCGGGCTGAGCGCAGCAGGGTCCCCCCAGGCGCTGCGGGCACAGCCACCTGAATGAAGCCTGCTGGGGAAGGGGGCCCTGCGTGCAGCAAGCCGGCTGGGGCAGAGTCGGTCGCCCTCCGGGGGAAGCGCTGATTGCAAGGGGGCCCCCCTTCGTCTCGCCTTGGCCACACGGCTTCTCCTGGGGTCCCCAGTCCAGCGGACTCTCCAGGATGGCGTTCCTCACGTTCCTCTGGATGGGGCTCTTCTGGCACCTGTGTCAAGGCTACTTCGATGGCCCGCTCTACCCCGAGATGTCCAACGGGACCCTGCACCACTACTTCGTGCCCGACGGGGACTATGAGGAGAACGACGACCCCGAGAAGTGCCAGCTCCTCTTCAGGGTGAGTGACCACCAGCGTTGTGCAGCAGCAGCGGGGGAGAAGAGCCAGGCCAGCCGCCTGCTGAGCCTCAGCCTGCGCGAGGAGTTCACGGTGCTGGGCCGCCAGGTGGAGGACGCCGGCCGCGTCCTGGAGGGCATCAGTAAGAGCATCTCCTACGACCTGGACGGCGAGGAGAGCTACGGCAAGTACCTGCGGCGAGAGTCCCACCAGATCGGGGATGCCTACTCCCACTCGGACAAGTCCCTCACGGAGCTCGAGAGCAAGTTCAAGCAGGGCCAGGCGCAGGACGGCCAGCAGGAGAGCCGGCTCAACGAGGACTTCCTGGGGATGCTGGTCCACACCAGGTCTCTGCTCAAGGAAACGCTGGGCATCTCCGTGGGGCTCCGGGACAAATACGATCTGCTGGCCCTCACCATCCGGAGCCACGGGACCCGGCTCGGCCGGCTGAAAAATGACTATCTGAAAGTGTAGAGGGAAGGGCGCCCGCAGGGAGGGAGAGGGAATCCCACCCGCTCCCAGGGGGAGACTGGCGATGGGAGAGGGGGGGCGCGCACGTCCCTTATCCTTAGGATTGGTCGAGTCCAGTTTGGCACGTTGAAAACGAATCTGAGTTCATCTGAAACAAAAGTGAGAGCTGAATGGTTTGGTGGGGTTTCCGTTTGTGTGGTCTAGTGTTTGCGCATTATTTATGGGATTGCTGTTATTGATTGGTCATCTGGGAAGGACGAGGTAAAGCAATGCCTCCCGCCTTGCCAAGAGGCCTGTGTCTCGCTGCAGAGACACCTATTTCGGCCACATCTAAGAGGACACCGTGTGTGTATATGGTAGGAACTGATGGGACATACGTTCCCATCCTGGAGACTCTGGAAACAGGATGGAGAGTGCTATTCTGCTTTCCACAGCAGCCTTCTCTCCCGATGAGCTCTGAAGGCGGCCAGGCGGCCTGTTTTCCCAATGAGGTCCAAGGTGCTGCTCTGCTTGCCTGCCAGTCAATGAAAACTGCCTGTTTCTTCTCCCTTTCGCTCTTATTTATTAGCCATGGTCTCTGAGTTGTGTTTTTATAAGAGCATTTGGCTAGAAACTACGCAAATTGACTTTGGAAGGGCATGTCTGTACCTCTGTGGGTGTATGTAAATCAAAGCGGCCACATGTGAGGAATCTAAGTTTTGTCAGGCTTACAGACTCACCATGATGTGTGTGCTGAGCTACCGCCGAGTAACTCATTGCTGTGTCTATGCTTTGTCATCAGTGCCAGAGTCCATCACAAAGAAGTCCATGGTGTGGGCTCACTCCCAAATGCCTGTGATGTAGGTCTCCGATGTATCGGTTCTCATTGGGGATTTTGCTTCTGCTCCTTGTTTGAAAGTTGTACTTCACCTTGGGGGAATTCTAAGTTGCTAATGACTCTTTAGCTAGGTTCTATTATCCAGTCAATAAATATGTTCTCATACAGCACGGGCTTACTTTCTAATTCGCATCTGTAACTTTGACATTCAAGGGGAGAAGGGTAGGCAGAAAGAAAGAGGCCAGTGGGGTTTCAGCCAGTTTACTTGCAGCATATGATAAAGAAAGCAGAGGAAGGAATAGCTACATATTTGGCAAGCCTTTCCCTGACCACCCTAGCTTTCTTCAAAAGAAAAAAAAGAAAAAGCCTGTGCCCCAAATTTTAGACTTGATCTCTGATGGTCTGTTTCAGTCTCCCCCCAGCTTTTCCCTGCACAATTAAAAATTGGAAAAGGTTTTGATAATGTCCTCATTGAACAACCGGAAGCTTTTTGCTTTTCTGAATTATAGAAATAACTAAAAGAAATTTAATAATTTTGAAGCCAGGTCTGCATTATTCATGTAATGCTTTTAAGTGGTGGAAGTGCACTTTATTCTGTAGTTTTCCCTAGACCAACTCCCACCTTTATTTTAAATATGCTTTCCCTTCCAACACACACACACACACACACACACACACACACATCCAAACTGGAATGTCCACAGGTGAGTCATGATTTCTCTCCCATGTACATGGAACATGGAAGTTCCAGTTTTCCATTCTGATAGAATACCTAATATCCTCCTGTTGCAATGGAGGAAACAAATGGTCAAAACGGGTAAGTGACCTATTCCTATTATTTGTAGCAGCTCCAGGTGCCTCAGAGCTACATTCAGAACCCTTCCATAATGCTATCTCTTTTCCAAGACACTGAGAGATAAGAGAAAATAATCGAAGACCTAAAACTTTGCATAATTATATTATTGCTTAAATTTTAGAAATCGTGGAATAATTCTTCAAATAATCATCTGTAATTCCTTTTAGCCATCTTGTTGTTGTTGTTATGTGCCGTCGAGTGGGTTCCAACTCTGTGACCCTATGCACAACAGAGCAACACACTGCCTGCCCTGCATCAGCCTCACAATTGACTCTATGCTCAAGCCCATGTTTTTGTAGTCCTCTCGGTCCCTGCTTTTAGCTGCCCCGAGAGTCCTGTGTGGAAAGAAGGCAAATGGTAATTTAAAGAGGTTTCCAACCTTGTTCTAGGGCAAGAAGAAAAGAAAACAAACAAACTGCAGAGATAAAGAAGATGATCTTTTGTATTTTAATGTGTGTAATTCGGAATCACAACTCATTTCACAGTACTCAGGTCCAAGTCCCAGACATTGCTTGGTTATCCCAACTGTAATTGGAGGCTATTGGATACTTGATAGGCATGGAAAACTGGTGTCATCATGCATACTAATTTCAATCAACTGGTAATGGCAGTATAAAATATTATGTTAAGAAGGTTTTAAAAGCCTCAGAAGTGGAGTGTTGTCCTCAAGTAAAGTTGTCTTCCATGGGAGTGGGAAGGGGGGTGGTGATGCATCTGCTATAAATTTGAAAACCCTGAAGAGATTATACAGGAGGCTCTTTCCAGGATGAAACTTCTATGATTCCTTCAAAACCAGAATGAAATTATCTGGCAATGAATCACCGCCATTCAATTCTCGATGTACAGCCAGTAATTCCACACAGCCTTATGCAATTAGCCGGAGAGGGCAAACGGGGAGAAGGAGCAATGCTCAGAGCTCACATCACAAGGCATTTCCACACCTCCTTATGGTGGAGAGTCAGACCACTCAGACCTTTCCTCTCCACTCTCTTGTTTTTCTCACTCTGACTTCACTATTCACAGTCACACATTTCTTTTAGAGCAGTGTTTCCTTAATACCTTAAACCATGAAACATTTTGAGAATCTGAAGAAAAGTATATACTCAGTTCCCTGTAAACTCTACTTGCAAACACACCCATACAATTTAAGATATGAGTTTTGTTCAACAAATTTTTTTATCAAAATGTGTACCAGATATGGATTGTGAGTCGTTCTGACATATTTTTAAAAAGGCATGTACTTCTAACAACTAAAGTTCCAAAAAAGCTCTTTAGGGGTTTAGTTGAAGCAAGGGTTATTTAGTAGTAAGGGAATTATAATACAATCCCAAGAAGTTCTACCCTATAATTTACAGGATTTCCACGACGCAAAGACAACTAACAATAACAACACAACAGCAACAGCCAGCACATTGAACTAGCTTCTCACTATTATTGGTCAGTTCCTATTCTAAGGACTTGAGTTATTTCCTTTCATATTTATCACTATATAGAGAAATTATTTTATAAAAGAAATAGTGCATGTCAAGCCTTAGAATAGTACATTACACAGAGTAAATTCTCAAAATGTTAGTTCTTACTATTGCTATTATCATTATTTTTATAACTGAGGCCCAGAAAGCCAAAGCAGTTTTTCTAATATGCTTTCAATTTTAACAGCATGAGATGTATGATTAAATAAAGGAAGAATGTAAAAGAAAAGAAGAAATTTATTGGGACTTCTAGCTGTCTAAACAAAAGCTGTTTTCTACAGGCTATTCAAACTATCTAGGTAATACAAATAATTAATATGCTCAACTGCTAACTAAAATAAGTTTGAGTCTACCTAGAGGCACCTTGGAAGAAAGGCCTGTCAATCTGCTTCTAAAAAAAATGAGCCCTATGCATCACAGTTCTACTCAGACACCCCTCTGGTCTCCATGAGCCAGAACCCACTGGACAGCAGATACTTTTCCCTTTGTTTTGTTACAGGCCTTTCAGCCCACATCCCACAGCAATGCACATATCTGATACTATCTGGTTGTCAGAACTTCGTGGATCTCTGTCTACAGAATTACTTATCAATATTTTCCCTGTGAGATGCATTGTTCAATAATCACTAATTCTTACATCCTCAAACTGACCATAAGAAAACTTGCATACACCTCGTTTGATGCATCCTGCAGGTTCTGTCTGCATAGCTAGCAATTATTGTGAAGATCACAGGACCACTTTAAACCACCCTAAGCGGCAGTATGACAAGCCTTCATCAGCTGTTCTTCATAGAATGCTTGTTAAAATAGTCTTGACAAGGAATAACACTTGGGTAACATGCCATCAAGTTCATTTAAACTCATAGTCACCCTATAAGACAGAGCAGATCTGCCCTTGTAGTTTCTGACTCAGTGACTCTTTAGGAGAGTGGAAACCTCACCTTTCTCCCTCAGAGGGACTGGCAATTTTGAACTACCTGTGGAAGGTCCACTTGGCAGACCAACATATACCTACTGTGCCATGTGTGGCTTATACACATTCAAATACAAAAGAGAACATGATTGGAGACGTAAGAGGTCTTGCATAACAATAATTGACTAATATAAACAGTGCATCCCGTGACTTACCCTCATGATTTTGGAATTAAAATGATCCTCGGGAATATTATCTCTGAAGCTGAAGGGACATATCATTTATCAAACACTTTGAGTGATCTCATATGAGACACCAGGATAGGCTTGTATATAGACTTCCCGGGGGTGTGGGGGCGGGAAAACTGACACATAAATAATTGAATGCAGAAACAGAATGACCACCAGGAGGGGCATGGACAAGGTTCTAAGGGAACCCTTTAAGGTTGTAAACTAGAATCACCTGGAAAATGTAAAGCAGTGTGAATAAAATAAGATTTAGCACAATTATACATTCAGAGGATATAGGACTTTGGGCATTGTTGCTCTACCTCTTCAATAGCTTTTTGCCTGGATACAAAACCATTCCTGTTGAAAGCACAGCAAATCTAATAAAATGCAAAGACAACAAAATCACCCATAATCTCAATTGGGGGGGAGGGGCAGAAAATAGCCACAATTAGAACTTTGGTGTGTGTTTTTCAATGTGCTATGCACATCTATGTATATCTACTATATCTCATATGTATGCATGTATATACAGAGAAAGAGACATACATGGAAGGGCTTCAATTAGTTTATGGGGAAAAAAACATTTTATATAATTTAAATATAAAATTTTTCCTGAAATTCTTTTTTGAAGCCACCTCATCAATAAAGAAAATATTGAACTTGTAAAGGATTTTCTTTTACTCGGATCCAGAATCAACATTCACAGAAGTAGGAGTCAATAAATTAAACAATGTATTGTATTGGGAAGATGTGCTGCAAAAGATCTCTTTATAAATGGTCACTTTGATAAAGTGTGTCTGACCCAAACCCAATTGATATTTTCAGTTGCTTCATATGCAAGAAATCCAAACAATGAATAAGAAAGACCAAAGAAGATTTGATGCAATTTAATCATAATGTTAGTGAAGAATAATGATCATACCATACAATAAATGAAAAATGAACAAATCTATCTTGGAAGAATGTTCCTTAGAAGCAAGGTGGGTGAGACTTTGTCTCAGGTACTTTCATAATGTTATGAGGAGGGACAGCTTCCTGTAACAAGCCATCATGCTTCGTAGCGTAGAGGATCATTGACAAACCGAAGGCCCTGAATGAGACTGACCCAGCACCTCCAAATGGGGCTTGAACACAGGAAAGACTGTAGGGATGATGCACAGTCAGACATCACTTGTTCTACTGAACATAGAGCTGTGGTGAGTTGGAACTGACGCAATCAAAACTTTAAAAAAATCATGAAAAAATGGAATGAAAAGATTGTGGTTTTTGAAGCTCCTTCATATATGTTTATTGTAGGTGTATGTTGTCATCGCTCTTAGATGCCATCAACTCAGTTTTGACTCAGAGCAAACCTGTGTACAATAGAACTAAATACTGCCTGGATCTGAGCCATCCTCACAATTGCTGTTAGGTTTGAACCATTGTCTGCTGCCACTGTCTCAATCTATCATGTCAAAGGTTTTTCTCTTTTTTGATGCCACTACACTTCACCAAGCATTATGTCCCCCTTCAGGGACTTGTCTCTCCTGATAACATTATGAATGTGTATTTTTCTCTTTTTTTAAAGAAATCATTTTATTGGGGGCTCATACAACTCTTATCACAATCCATAAATACATCTATTATATGTCAAGCACATTTGTACATTTGTTGCCCTCATCATTCTCAAAACATTTACTTTCTACTATGTATATTT